TTTTCTGTTGCCGTTCATGCCACGTCAGCTTCCAATTTTTTGGCTCTGGAGCTGTCCGTCAAGGGGGTGTTTGCAGCCACCAATTTCTGTAAAGATGTTTTTTTTTCCGTTGCCTTTCCTAGCATTCCGTTGCCATCCGTCATGGACTTTGAGATTCTGGAAGCTTGTCATGAATAGAGGCGTATCGAATCGCTGCTAGTACTTGGCTGGAGGCAGCACACACACAGAACACATTATCACGGCATACTATAAATCATAAGTGCTGGCCCTTCCCAGCAGCGATCGCTGCCGGTACTTGGCTGGAGGCAGCACACACACAGAACACATCATCCCGGTATACTATAAATCATAAGTGCGGGCCCTTCCCGGCAGCGATCGCTGCCAGTACTTGGCTGGAGGCAGCACACACACAGAACACATTATCACGGCATACTATAAATCATAAGTGCGGGCCCTTCCCAGCAGCGATCGCTGCCGGTACTTGGCTGGAGGCAGCACACACACAGAACACATCATCACAACATACTATAAATCATAAGTGCGGGCCCTTCCTGGCAGCGATTGCCATCGATTTTTTATGGAATTCTGTCGACCTTTGTGGTCCGGTCAGCGGTTCTGTTGTGGGTGCCTATCATCCGTAGACGGCGGCGCGAATTTTGTAACACTTGGTTTCATTCTGTAAGGCTGTGTGGATTTCTGTAGTTGTCTATGCTGACGTCAGTATGGCCCTACCCGTTTCTGTAAAACGCTTTTTTCTCTGTGGCTCCCTCATAAATTCTGTTGATTGTACAGAATTTTAACGGAGCCAAACAAATTCTGTTGGGGACGGACAGATGGGGCCACCTCTACACATGGATGTGCCACGGGGGCGACCAGCGTGCATTGCCAAATCCATCAAAGACCCAGGCAATCGCACCCCACGTCCGCCATGCATACCCGTTGTGCACTCAACCAGGCGTTTGGCCATCCGGTCCGGGAACGGGACCCGCTCTGCAGCTGTTATCCATCACCTTTGCCAAAATACAGGCCTCTGGGATTGCCCGTCTTACAGAATTTCAACGGAACGGCGTTGGAATTTCTGTACTGGGGTTCAGCGCATTAAGTATGTGTTGATAAGTCTGTGTTGCTCCATAAACTTTGACGGAATTCTGTCGACCTCTGTGGTCCGGTCAGTGGTTCCGTTATGGGGGACTTGTCCTCCGTAGACGGCGGCGCGGATTCCATAATACGTGGTTCCATTCTGGAAGGTTGTGTGGATTTCTGTAGCCGTCTAGACTGACGTCAGCATGGCCCCGCCCGTTTCTGTTAGACAAATTTTCTCTCTGTGGCCTGCTCACGGATTCCGTTGACTGTACGGAATTTTAACGGAGCCAACCAAATTCTGTTGTGGACAGACAGAGGGGGCCACCTGTAGGCCTATCCGGGCCGCATTGGGTGCCGCGGCGGGCGCATCGCCTGCATTGAACTGAAAACCACGCCAGCCAAAGGGTGCTTAAAGAGACACATTGCTATGGTGTTGTTGCCACAATAATGGCTGGAATACATCACAGAGTTCTGAGGTAGACAAAAGCAACAAGAAAAAGAAGAGGGAAGGGTGGCAAAGGCTAAAGAAAGGGTGGAAAAATGGTGATTGAGGAAGCTTCCAAGGCACCTCTTCTAGCCCACCTTGGGCTCTTTGATGAAGATGACGAGATGGATATGAGGGATTCATGAGTGAGCCTTAGGTGTCCGTGAGATCAGAAAAACATAAAAAGGGATAATAAGAAAGAAACATGTTTTTTTCTAAGTTGTGCAAATATGAATAGGGTCATGTTGGCTTGGATATTCAAGGTCTTTTATACTTCTTAAGTGTGCATGTCTGATTTCAACAAGTTTTGGGTGGTTGTGGTATATTTTGAGATATTTTACATTAATTAAATTGGCAAGATAAATGTTTGGATTGGTGTGGGGACGCAGGCCACTGACTGAACTTTACATATGCTTTATATGTGACTTACATTATAATGAAGTGAACATTTGGCAAAGGAATCTCTGAGGTGGTCGTGGGCAGCGCTAGTGGCCGTTGTGCAGCACAGCAGGGCTCACAACGGGGTTTTGTGACCGGTCAGTGGTTGTGGCCTTTTGACATGGAATATTCTGATGATTTGACAGGCATCTTTAGATTCTCTGGACCCCCCCATCCGTATATTTGAGCTGGCGGCGCGGGGGGAGGCGTGTTCTTGCCGTTTGCTTGTGTTTGGGAGTCAAGACCGCTGTTGTGGCTTCGGACGTTCAAGTGTAAGGCTGTTGGGCCATTTTGGCAAGGCTCCCCTATCTCCTTGGGTACCCAAAACGTGTGCCCGTCTTTGAATGTGCGCACAGCCTGTGTCGTGGTCGGTGTAGAGGTGGCCACCCGGATCCGTTAATAGCAGACAGAGGTTAATTTCCGTTAATTTTCCGTTAATTAACGGAAAATAACGAAAAAAGATAAAAAGTAACCAAAAATTAGCGGATTTTTGGATTTTTGGGGATTTTTGGGTTTTAGTCATACTTATAGTTTATGGAATTCGCTATTAGAGAGTATGTTTGTATTTTATTTCAACCTATGCATACTAGATTTTCAACTAGCCGCAGTTGTTGTAATTTTTTGGGTTTTTTCGATTTTTTTGGATTTTTTTCGTTTTTTCTGAATTTTTCTCCCTTTTTCTTTAACGAAATTTAACGGACAGCTGATAAAAATTAACGAACCGGATTTAACGGACCGGATGGCACCTTTGAGTGGCCACCTCTAGGTCGGTGCTGGAAGGGGCAAACCTTCGGCACCCCTTGTTTCGCGTGCTTGTCGTTTAGGCCGACGGGGTCTTGCTCCAACGCCCAAACGGGAGTGTTGTTCACATTTCCACCCGTTGAACGTGCTCACGTAGCCCTGTGAGGAGCGGTGGCTTGTTTTGCGACCGTGTTGGCTGTGCAAGCATGTGGGTTCCGCGTTGGAAAAGCGCCAAAGCCAGCGCTGGGTGTCGTGCAAGGCACACCCGTTTTTTTGAACCGGCTGCGTTAGTGTCGACAGTACCACGGGTCGGCAGGTCTGGCTGGACGTGAAACCACACATCTTAACGTGCTGCAGACGTGCGCGAGTCGCCGAGAACGCGTGTGTCTAGCAGTAAACTTGCATATAAGCTGGCTGACATGCCGAGGAGGCGCGTCGTGTGGAGCTCTATCGTGTTGTTTTACCCGCAGCGCTGTGCAAGCGTTGACGAGTCTAAGCACACAGCTACGTGCCCGTCGACCGTCAGCTCGGAACGTGCGACGTGCTGTGAGGACAGCGAGGGAGGCACACAGCACTGAGAAAGTGTTCAGAGGTGTCTCGCCATAAAGGCGACCACAGGGAAGCGCTGAAGAACATATTTGTAGGCAGTGCTGTGAAAGCATTGCTGTGTTTGTGCAATCACAGCTGTTCTGCCATATTCTGAGTGGGATACTTGACTCATAGGTATCGAAACACCACTTCAAAAGGACCAAGTGAGGCCACCAGGTCATTTTTGACGAATATGGTGGGCCTTCGCGTTCAGTTTGGGAATAAAATGATGGGAGGGGAATATGACAAGTTGATGGGAATATTCTAAGTTGAGGTCCAATATCTCAAGGGTGAACAAAGCTCTGAGACGCTTGGAGCCCCGGTTGGCTGTGCAACAAGGGATTTTGTGGAGGTACTCGTTCCAAGGTTTTGGCCACCTACTGCACCAAAGGCCGCCGCGATGTTGGGCATTGCTGCCCTTTGTCCCAAGGTGGGACCTGCACCTCAACCCTCTCCTTGGGAGGTGCTGTGTGCTTGCACGCTTTGGTGTGGGCGAATGCGTGTGTGCGCTCAATTTCATCAACGACACTTCATGATGTATTCCTTGGAAGGGATGGCCTCTCCAGCCATGCATAGTGCTAGCTTTGCGGCTCACAACTTGTGAGTCAGTGACCCATGAGCAAGCGTAGAGAACTTTGACAGGACCGATGCCAAGAGTGTGAAGTTGTGGAGTGTAAGAAACTTGAGATGGAGCTTTGAGGACACCCAGAAGCTGTAGGGGCCCAAGGACACATTGCTGATCGGGGGCACTGTGGTTGATGTCAAATACCTGGTATTTGGAGCTGCCATTCAGGGGGAGTCCACATGAAGGCAGGGCTGTTGTTCTTATTGACGATGTGCTATTGGTTGCGCAGAGGCAGACGGGAAGGCTTTGTTTGAAGCCAGGAGCTGCCCAGAGCGTTGCGTTGCGAGATGATGAGGGGTTGGTTTAACTGCCTGCTGCGTATTAAAGGCGAGAGGCGCGCTGTCTGGAGAAGGCAGATTTCTGAGCATGAACGCAAACCTCTGGTTTTTGAGCAAAGAGTATGGTGACTATTGCTGTTTGGTGTCTTCGTTTGGTGTGGGATTGCACTCAGCTCATTGCGCATAGATATCCTTGTTGCATGGCTTGCTGTGATGGGGAAGCCGGGAGTTTGAGCCGGTGATCTGTCAGCCTGAAAAGGTGGTCACCATGAAGGAGCTTCAACAGAGTTAAATGGACACTCAGCATACATGAACGCGCACGACCGCACAGTGTTGATGTGCATCGGTAAATGAAGCCGACGTAAGCAGCTGACCCAGCGTGCCACCACACCCAGCTCTGCTAATCACCATCTTATTCAGGGCACGGTGTCATCCAATCAAACCCTCACCCCGCCCATGGCACAGCCGCTTGCAACAATTAGTAGGACAACCCAACAGCAAAACGCCAACTCATTGGCACAATTTTGCTCCAAAAAACTTTGCATCGTTTCAAACAGATTATGCTAGATCATGACTGAGCACGGCAGCAAGGTTCGTCTACATCACTCTGTGACAAACTTGAGAGACGAACATTCCCTTGCATCTGCAGAGATTCCAACCCCCTCCCCACCGCCATATGTCATTCTATCCACAGGAATACGTGCACTGTTTGCCCTGTCCACAAAGGATGCCCAAGTGCCCGTCGTAGCAGCACCCATTGTTCTCAGTCCAAGGTGATCAGCGCAAAACAAGGAACAATACCCACACACCAGGCCGTCGATGCGTCTGAGTCATCATCCTTCCCAACAGAGCAACATGCAAGTGACCACCCCACTGATACTTGGCAATCCCCTCTCAATAGTGCAGCACATAGCAGTCTGCCCCACAAAATTGCCCGCACTGGATATGGACACCACCCGGCAATATATGGCAGCTGCAGTGCGGCACATCCCTCTGACACCGTCTTTGGCCTTTCCTGCCCAACACGGGAAAACCTGGTGACAAGCAGCGTCCCAGAATGCACACAAACAACACAACAAGCGTGCAGCCAGGAGGCAAGTCCTCTCACCATCCTGTGGGGCAGATGGAACGCAAGAGCACCGTGAGCAACTACAGCAAAGCCTTTGAAGAGCCAGAACCAGAATGGCATCGTCGATGGGGTCGACAGATACATTTATGCCGTGGCTGGCTCTCTCATAGCTGGTGGCACTTGGGCCTGTGCATCGTTCACAGGTGATTGTGTGTGCACGACCCCTGCTGTCCCATCAACCACGTCCACCTTCACCTGCCATCAGCGCACACTATTCTCAGTGCATCTGATCAATGTGCAAACTTGCAGTACCGTACACTGCTTCTATATAAATCTTGCTTCCAACTGAACTCCATGCCACCACATTGCACAACATCGGTGCACTATTACAAAGCCACAACAATCCTTTCCTGTTCCTTTCTGCAGCTGATTGTCCTTTGGGCAAGAGGACAAAGCACAGACTATGAGCAACAGCAGAACAAGAGCTCAGTGATATGGATTCGTGCTCAATGTCGCTCAAAAGGTACTGTGGAGCTGCTTCCACCTCACGAGGTATGTGTAGCCCATGCATGCACGAACAAAGAAATGGCACAGACAGCACTGCAAGGCAAGTTCAAGAGGAGCGCAACAAGCATGCTATGGGCCAACAGCCATCATCGCATCGGAAAAGATGCACAACTTCTGTAAATGCTCCTCACATGCCTTTACAGCTGTTAATGGTTATTCCCCAGAAAGGACTCACCTGGTCAAGCTGTTGTGCCACAACGGGACCATCCTCAACATCACCATGGACTCCTCCCATGCTGTGCTGCGGTTGCTGTTGCTGCAGCGGTTGCTGCTGCACGTCTTGCACGTCCATTGAGGGCGTGTGCTGTGGCTGTGGTGGCGTCTGGCCAGGGGTGCGGTTGCGCCCCTTCTTTAGGTCTTTGGGCTTGCGATTGTTGAAGAAATTGCTCAGTCGCTCCTGCACACAAATTCGCGCTGTCACCCTGTTGTCCTTGAAGCACGTGCAAGTTCAACATTATACCCACTGGGAAGAAATGACAAGGCATTGTGCACTCCACAGTGTGTAGGGCAATTATTCTTCGACACAGGATGCATGCAATACAATGGGTCCCTTTGCCAAGTGAGGACTTTGCAAATATTTTAGATGCTACAGAAAAGGATGCAGAGGCTTCCCAGTGTGGCATGGCTAGCAGCACAAGGGCATGCAGGTTGTGTCTCCAGGACGGCTTTGTATTACTTCAGGGTCACCTCAGTCCATAGCCACAACCCCATCGTATGATAAGATTGTGTTGATGCTCTGTTCATAACCTGGCTCCACAAATCTCACCCTTTTAAGTGAATCCCCAGCACACAAGACATCCAGTGGTGAGGCAAGACACTGACCACACAAGGAGTGAGACTCTAGAATACTCCTCACTTGACAGATGGCACAAATCAATTTAAGGTACCTTAGTGATTGAGTACTCATCACAAAACTTCACCCTCTCCTCCCATGTGATGGCCGTTATTGACCATCCTGCCCTTTCTGCTAACTGCGTCATCGCAGCAACCTGCTCTTCACTGAACCGCTCCCGTTGCCGCTTTCGGCCCACCTCATCCTCATTCTTATGCCTCGCTGCGGTCTCGAAGGTCCTGAGCACACCGCACCACACAAAATGTCAAGACTGAATGAAAACAGGCAATGCTGTGCAGCACGGCACAGGGACAAGTTTATGTGAAGATGCTAAGCTTGCCACTAAAACAGAACTGGTCTTGCGGAGACATGATCTTTTGGCATTGACAAATCAAGGCTGATCAGCAAGATGATGTTTGACTGTCCATGCCTTGCACAAAAGTTGCTAACTCGGACAGTATGCTCCTTGTGGGAGGGCTGTCTTCTGCGGATTGTTCTGATTGTTGAGGGCTCACCAATATGCAAATCCTTGCCAACACTCTTCCCAACTACTGCATGCAACCAGCAAGAGAATTAGCACAGAATGACGTGCATTGAAAATGGAAATTACGGGCATATCCTTCAGCACAGTGCATCAAGAGGAAAGACAGTTATGCACTTCTCTACAGTCACGACACTTGACCTGCAACCCCAGAAGCACATATTTCTGACCTACCCACTCATGCAGCAAATGGATCCTACTGTTCTTGTTGTGGAAAGCAAGAAGACAGACAAGTGATACGTGCACACAAGTACAGGCTTGCCAATTCAGATGTCTGCAAGGTGGCCACCATCCACTTGTCTCAACAGAACATGCGGAAAGGTTATTCTTGGCAAAGAATTCGATACAAATGCATGGCACTCAGAATCAGAACAGCCTCAATACAAGGACAAAAGAAAAAGAAATGGAAGCTACAGATGAGCACCACGCTGAGATGCAGACTGCACATCACCTTCCATGTGAGTAGTTTGAGCACTTGGCAGCAGATCCCCTGTGACGCAATGGAAATCATGCTGTAATATATGCACAGGCACAATCATGCCTGCAATATACGTGCAGGCAAAGTCTTGAACAGAGAGACACCACCCTTGGGTCTGTATGTGTGCACAGCCCAATACTACAGGGCCGCATTCAGCAGGCATGTCATAGGGCTGTGGTCAGACCAATGGCACCTGTGAGACTTGCCCCGTGTCCAAAATCCACTGGACAAGCAGACATAAAGGATTGCGGCTGTTTCAACTCACTGTACAGCCCAATTTGCATATGTTCTGCACCCAGGCAGCAACAGGGAATTCATCAGGGACAACACACACCACTTCCTGCTGGAATATGCCTACAGGAAAGCTCCTACTGGATAACTTGTGTGGTCTGGATCAACTGCAAATTTCTGACACCAATGAAGTGGCTCACAAATTGGATGCACCCAACGATAATCAGCATTCCTACATGACCTGTGACTTGAATAATTCCTTGTGTTTGCACTCTTAAAAAATCACCTTGGCAACATTTACTGGGCAAATTCACGTGACAGGATGCTTCACTGCCGGCTGGCAGACTGTCCGACATCACACATTCTCTCCCTGGGCTTTCTACTCAAAGCAGTTCAAGCACCCCAGTACCTTGCATACTCAGGAGGTGGGTACTTCTGGGAGTTGATGTGCAGCTTGTTGTAGCTGCAAACAACACACACACACGCACGCACACATATTCTGAAGATCCACCAGCATCGGATGGCCCCATGAAACGTTTACAGTGTTCAACATTGACGAATAACATGCAGCCACATCATTCTTTTCCTTTTTTTGGCCAGAAATGACCCTGTGCCACTGAGCAGCGACAAATGACCACACAGATTGGGGATTCAGAGTTATAGAATCATCACAACATAGAGAGCCTTCACATCAACAGCTCGATCTCATGAGCCAAGGTCAAGCTCTGCAAACATGTCGCAATTGTGTCACTGTTCACTGTGCCAGTTTGCGCCATGTTCGCTGTCAGTACCTTGCAAAGAGTAGTTCTTTTGTCACTCTATGGCAAATATCTCATCTCCCTGTGCTGATGGGTTTTCCAGAACTCTAGTCCAGTCACTTTCAGAGGTGCAGTCGGACAGGGTTATCAGTTGCAGTCCCTGCTGCAATCGTCTCTACCCAACCATGTACCCCTAAGGTGAGATGGACCAACAGCCACACGGTAGGTGCTGCACACTCATTACTGGACTGACACCATGGCCAAAACTATGCATGGGCTAAGATTCGGCCTGCAAGGCCTGTACGAGATGTCACAGCCACGCTGAGGGGCAGTCTGACAATGAATTCAACGATTACTGGCATTTCCAATGACAGTGATCCTTGTCATGTCCCAAGGGTGCACTCAGTATAGCCTGGCTACACCCTGGACTGCCAGATTGTATTGGCCAAAGATCCCACGACATCTTAATCGGATACTTACGCTGCATGGCCCAAGTCGATCCCGCTGACATCAGCAAGTCGAATTGCATAAAGAAGAATCTGAAGATGGCACAGTAGTGCAATGAGCAGCTGAAGCCCTGTAGGGTTCATGCAGCCAGAGCAGATGGACGCTAGAGATAGAATATGAACTCCAATGCACTGGACAGTTTTGCTGTATATTCATGCTGTAGGCTGCTGGAAAACTGACAGTGTCCTAGGATCAGAAATAAGTAGTAGCACATGACCTTTGCATTGATTACAAGGTGCATGTATTCAGATGCATGCACACATAGATACGCACAGAAAGCGGCAACAAGCCTGCAATAGGCCTGCAAAAATTGTGCTTGAGCCTCTTTCTTGAGCACAATGTCAGCAGTTTATCCATGCAAGAGAAATGACACCACAACAACAAACAAATGCAGCAAGTAACACATGTTCTGTGAGTATTGGTAGGCATCAGCATCACAAACTGAATGCAATGCAAGGGACCAAGGCGAATTGCTTGCATCTGCGCCTAATCCCATGTGCACTGCAATGTGCATTAATCTAAAATTCACTTCTCCAGCCGCAGCATGTTGGGAGCCCGTGCTTACATCAGCCAACTCTTCTGATACGCGGTTTTTCTCCTCAGGGGTGAATCCTGCACAGAGCAGCGCATGAGGTCAGGGCTGCCCTTGGATGCTGTGTGAAGAGAACTGGAACAAGGTGGGGTGATCACCAGCCACAGAGGGTTCCAGCTCGTGCAAATATAAAGTGATGATGTCGCAAAAAGAAGAAACACATATGCACATGCACACACACACACACACACACTCACTCATGACCAATATTTTCTACCTGCAGTGCAGTTCAGGGCATAGCACGCCCTTGCCCACCACACCCAGGTATTGGAGACAGACCATAAAGGATGGCTTGCACACGCACTCTAAACCAAATATGCAGGACAGGACATGCAGTACATGCATGCGCAGTACATGCGCAGCACAGATAATTGGACACAAGGTAATAGTCCTGTCATTCACTGTCACCATATCCAGCCTGTCAATGCACCACACACACCACATTTACATATATCCTTGCACAAGTACAGCGTCCTCACAAAAAACCCATTCCGACCTTCGTTGGCATGCTGCAGGACATGCTGTAGAAGCCTCCTTGCACATCAAAACTGTGCAACAATAGAGTGCTCAGGAGCAAGCTACGGGCGACACCCACCTGGCAACCCCTTGCCCACTTCGCCCCGCCACTGAAAGATCTCCGCCAGCTGCCCCACGTCCCGCACCTGCCCATTGCATTCCCCTTTCAGCCCCAGCCCCCGCCCACTACGGCATCACCGCTCTTTGCACGTTGTGTACGCGACATGAACACGCACATGACGAACATGCCACGGAGGCGAACAAGCGGTGAAGGCAAACGAGCACTTCGGTCGTGACCATGCCTCTCATCGCTTGCAGGGCCACAATTTCGCCCCGCAGCTTCCCGCCCACCACAGCATCACCACCCGTTGTACGTTCTACACGCCATACACACATGCACATGGCGAACACGCCCTGAAGGCGCACAAGCGATGAAGGCGAACGAGCACTTCGGTCGTATCGATGCCTGACGTCGCCCGCAAGGCCGCCCATGCACTCGCCCCGCGGCGCCCTTTGCCCCCCCGTTCGCCGCCCGCTCACCATGGCCAGCAACAGGTTCCTGGGCGAGTGGAACTTGTCCCAGTCCCTCTCCGTCGCGAAGTGGTGCATCGCCAGCCGCAGGTCGTCCAGCGACACGGCGGGCGGCGCGGCGCTCACCACGCCGGGCGACGGCTCCGGCTGGGCGACCGCCGCGGGGGGTACGACACAGGCCACGCTGCCGTTCACGGGCGCGGGTAGCGGGGCGGCGGGAACGGGCAGGGCTGCGCTGGGCGTGCCCGCCGCGGTGGACACCTCCTCCATGAAGAAGCCGCCGGCGGACGCGTCCACCATGTCCTGGGGGCGAGCCTCTGTGGGGCCAAACGGGGCAGGCGCCGAAAGTCAAGGGAGGCGTCCACGGAAGAGCAAGGACGGAGACAGGGCAGGAGGCGTGGAGGGATAAAGGCTGCCGGAGGAGATAACGGGGTGGCGTGGATGGTGCCACGCTCTCCGCGAGCTGCCGAGCGCGCCTCCACAAAAAGGGTTGATCGAGCAAACCCGTTGTGCGACGACCACAATGGCGGGGGTCACGGCGGGGCGAACGGCGAGCTAGAGGGCTGCCGGCCGGCAGACGCCCACGCAGACGGCGTTTGTCGCGCGGGAGCGATCCGCCGGACCTCGCCCCAATCCAGCCTCAGGCGCCCGCGCCAGGAATTCGATTCCCAACTCCGCCCGCAAAAGCGTGGGCGACATCATCACCCGCGCCCACCCCTTCGATTCCCACGCCCCCCTGGCTCCCGCAATGGGCCGCTGGCCGCCTGCTCGCCCACCCGCAATGCAGGGCCCCGCGCGGGGACGTGACGCCGCGACCGATCGCCCCAATCAGGCGCGCCCAGCGATTACGGGATCAGGCGGGGAACCCCGGCCCCCAGGGGCGGCTCACCTGCGGCTCCCGGCATGCGCTCTTCGGAGTGCAGCGGCGAGGCCTGCGCGGACGGCGGCACGCCCGCGTCGGTGGGCCAGGCGTACAGGGGCTGCTGCGGGAAGGCGGCCATGTAGTTCCCGCCGGCGCCGGCGGGCACCAGGCCCGGGGCGGCGGGGTCGCCGGCCTGCTGCTGCACCACCTGCATCTCCTGGCCCTCGCCGGAGGACATGCTCCACCGGGGCCGAGTGCCTGTCGCGGGAGAGCCCGGCGTAGCTGTGACCGGGCCCCTGGGACGAAGCGGGGTGGGCTGGACCGAAAGTGGCCCGTTTCAAGCCCCGTTGGCGCGGTGGCTGCTCGCACACACGCTCTGCAGCCTCGCGGCCGCCGAGCGCCAATCGGTGCCCGCGGAGGAAGGGGGTGCGGTGCTGGGCGTGTGGGCCGCACCGCGGTTGGGATGCTGTACGGGCGGGCGGGGTGTCTTGGGGCGCTGGTGGCGCACGCCGAACTCCACAGGGCACCGGATTCCTTTTGGGCAGTCCCGCCGCAGGGGGGAAATTTCTGGCGTGGCGTTGATGAGGGCATGGCCGCTGGCAATGGGCCCGCATCACGTGGCCCGTTGGGGGCCATTCCGCCGCCCTCCATGGAATCATGCCGGCCGATCAGGGAAATTTGCCAGATGGGGGCGTCTAGCCGTGCGACGCGGCACGCCGGCGCCCGCCCGCCGGGGACCCGCCGCGAAATTGACGTGATGGCCTTCCGGACGAGTTCCGGGGGGCGTTCACGACGCAACGCAATGCGGTCGCCCCCTTTGGCGTCGTAGGTTGGGCTCGCCGACCGCGGCCCGTCATCCAGGAACGCGTGGCCGGGTCGGTACACTTGTATGGGGACCGACATTTTGGCAACCACATCGCAGCCGTATCGGAGGCCGGTGGAGTGCAGCGCCCGCCGTTTGCCACAAGACACTGACGGATAGCGGCGCACCTGTTTGGTGGCTGGCTGCATTGGACTCACAGAAATGCATTTCCACCCGTGCCCACGCCGAGAAGACGCACTTCTTCCGCCCTTTGCTGGCCAGAAAACTCCCGTCAGGCGCACAGGATCCGGTGTCAGTCAGTATCCACGCGGATCCTTCTCATATGATACAATGCTGTATCGATACTTCTTCTCCAGAGGTACGGTACCGATGTTCTGGGGTGCACTAAGCCGCTCCCGGGTCCCTCCAGAGAAGAAACATCGATACCGTACCGTACCGGCTGGATACTGATACGGATGCTGGGACGGCGCTGCGCCGCCTGGGTGCCCGCTAGCTTTGGGCATTTTGGCCAGAGCCCAACCCGCGAGTCCCACTTTCCAGCAAGCAAAGCGGCGGCGGTCTGGGCGCGGGTTGCAGGGCCAACCGAGATGGCATCCGACCCTCCCGTCGCGCAGCAGGCGCCGCCGGGCGCCCCTAAGGCCCCGATGAACTTCGCGGCGGCCGCCAAGCGCGAGACGGTCGAGAAGGAGCTGAAGTGCGTCCAGCTGACGGGGCTGGTGGTGCTGAAGATCGTGAAGCACTGCAACAGCTGCCTGCCGGCCCTGGTCACAGGCCAGCTGCTGGGACTGGACGTGGGATCGACGCTGGAAGTGACGGACTGCTTCCCGTTCCCGGTGAGCGCCAGCCGAGATGTGCCGTGGGGCCAGATGCCCGCGCGAATCGTGCGGCCTTTCGGTAGCGACCTGTCCAGGTGGCGGGAAGAGAACTGCTCATGGGTGGGGAAGGAAGATCCCGCCCGCGTGAGGGATTTGTGTTCAGAGGCGGGCGCGCTGTGGTCAATTGGGAACGGGAAGAAAGACGCCCCTGCACAGCAATCGCACATGTTCGGCTGCCAGGATCCAACTATCAAAACTCGAAGTTCTTGTGGTAGAAAACGACGATCTGTCAACAGCTGTATTTTTGGTGTTGATCTTAAACAGCACAGGTACCTGTGTGAAAGCACTGTTGTTGGATCCATTATGTGCAGCGCTAGCGCTGTGTTTTCATGCTGTGCAAGGGAGGCCCTAAAAACATTCTTAGGAATGGTTGAACATTGTATGAGTTTAGTTCCTTGCTGTTGAATAATCTTCAATTGTGGCCTTTGCAACTTGAGGCGCAAGCCATGTGGTAATGATCCTCCATTGTTCTTGTTTGTTGGAAAGCTCCTACTTCCTGCTGACAGTCCTCCAGGCTGTCCACGATATCCAAGATTGCAGTCCTTTGTTATTTTGCACAACAGGCCTGCTTTCTTCTGGAATTCCGGAAGTTTGTAGTGCTGGGAATGGAGCAAACGATTGGGAACACACACCTTGGACTGAAGCATGTGTGTCATTGTCACGATGGTGCAAGGGAAATTTGGCAAATGTTATCAAACGGATTGCCCCTCAACACGAGATCTGGCACAGTGCATCAGTTGAGTTTTATCTTTGCTGTGTGTTGCTAGAGCTTGGCTGCTGACTATGAAACTGCGGCACCAGAATCTGCCAACTACCAGCTGGAGATGATGAGGTGTCTGAGGGAGGTCAACGTGGACAACAACACCGTTGGCTGGTAAGAGTTGTGCGCCTGAGATGTGCACCAACTTCACCCATCAATTGCCTATGTTTCTTGTTTGGAGGCCTTTGCTATGGCACTTTCCATTTCACATGTGCAACTATGGCCAGATATCGACCATCTTGATCTGGCAGTTGGTGGATCGGTATGGGGTGGCTCTTCTGTGTGGTACAGGAGAAGTCTTACGTCAATATTGTGGTCATTGTTGCCAGCACATGGTGTTCAACACAGTATTAGGGACAGCAGAGTCTACATGAGTTCTTACAATGTGTGGAGTAAGCATATCAGTGCTTGTTTCTTTCCAGGTACCAGTCCTCAAATTTTGGCTCATTTGAAACTGTGGAACTCCTCAACACATTCATAAACTACTATGAATCCATCCGCCGCTGCGTGGCCATCATCTATGACCCCCAGAAGTCAGCCAGTGGCACCCTGGTGCTGAAGGCTGTGAAGCTGAAGGACTCATTCATCGAGCTGTACAAGGCCAACAGTGCACCCACTGCTGAGGTGCTGGCAGCACAGGGTCTCAGCTGGCACAACATCTTCCAGGAGGTGCCCATCACCATTCAGAACTCCAGCCTAGTGAGCGCGCTGGTGACGCAGCTGGACCCTGACGAAGCCATGCTGGAGGATGATGTGGACCGCCTGTCCCTGAGCACCACAGGCTTCTTGGAGCAGAACATGTCATTCCTGGGGGAGTGCATGGATGACCTGGTCCAGGAGCACAGAAAGGTTGCAATCTGTTGGACTTCAGTGTCTGAAAAAAGACAAGCGAGACAGTGACAGTTTGTGTGTTCTGGAGTCTTTGTCGATTATCCCACATAAGGCACAGGAAAGTGGATCTATGCGGCTGGAAGTCTCGCGGTTGCAGTTATTCCATGTTACAAAGCGGAACCAGAACACCGAATTCAGTTATGGCAGATGTGTAGCTGTTTCACTACCAGTCCCATCGTTTGCTCCCTGCCAGTCATTTGTAACCACGCTGGGGTAACAAGGAAGCAGGAACAGAAGCCCAGATTCCACAAAAGAAGTGGTAGTGGATTGGTGTGGATGGCATTGCTGAACCCAAGAAACAGCTGGACTTGGGACCCTCCAAGGCTTCTGATGGACGAAACAGCTCACAGTGGCCAGTGATAACCCTCTAAAGGCAAAAGCGTGGTGCTGAGCTACCAGACACTACCATGCTGATGGTTCCCTTGGCTGACACTCGTTTTTTGAACTTGTTTCTCATACAACAGTAGTCCAGAATGGGAAACGCAATGGGAGTGTGGGGCAGTGTGCAACAAACTCTCCAATTTCAGTTGGTGCACAGAGAAGCAGTTCCTTGCAGTGTTGGGGATTGGTTTGGCACAGTTGGTTGTTCGTTTGGCCTGTCTGGTGTTGACAGCAACATTGCTCAGCAATGGTTCACACAACGGGCAAACCTCCTATCCAAGATCTGTGTGAGTGGTGCTGAGCTATGTGCATGGACGCGATTTGTTTGCAGGTGTCAAATTACCACCGCAGTGTGCTGAAACAACAGCAGCAATTCCAGCAGTGGCTGCAGCAGAGGCGTCAAGAGAACATGCAGCGCAAGGCCATGGGAGAGGAACCGCTGCCCGAGGAAGACCTTAACATGTTCAAGCCAATCGCTGAGCCGAGCCAAATAGATGCATGCCTGATAACTCACCAGATGAGCAACTACAGTGAGAGGGTCAGGAGTTTTGCAACGACGTGCTTGGAGAAGCTGTACCTTGCAGAGGGTTTCCAGAAAGCAAAAATCTGACAAACACTAGGACATGAATGGGTTGACTGCAGGGCCAATGGCTTCGCTTCACGTTTATGGATACAAATTCGGGACTCAAGTTTGGCACTGGTTGCATCAGCCATGCGTGTTGTGTCCTTGGGCACTTCTGTGTCGCTCTGCTGGCGTTCTGGCGCAGCCAGTGGTCGTCATTTCGATGGGTGACATGCCACCCCGATTCACATTCCTTTTGCCTGGCCAGCATCATCATGAAACAGACTCGGGCGAAACGGACCCGGCACGATATTATTGCGCTTCGCAGAACATTGGGACAATGCGCGGCGTGCTTCACCATTCAGCTGCCTTTTATGGTGCATGGTTGTCATCGTCATCCAAACAGTATGACAGCAGGCGCAAAGAAGGGGAGTGCTGTGAGTCATGCAGGTAGCGGGCCTTCCTGCGATTGTGTGCTCATCCTGTTGGCTCAGAGTGCATCCCGTGCACGCCCTCCATGAAGCGGGATTTGGTTGGGGATGGAAACGCCGCGAATTCATGACTTGGGTGCCTGGAGCTGACGAAACATTCACTCGGCTTGTTGCCAGGGATCCTTTGCCTTGCCAGCTTCCCCGGCCCCAGGGTGTAAGGGCAGTCGCTTCGTCACACTCTGGCAATATAATGACAAATACAGGCTATCCTGTCGGAAACAGATAGCTGCAGCATGCAAGCTTAGGTTCACGTTAGTGACCAATACGACGCAGTTGCCTTGGGCGAACCACACCGATTTGCGCCACCTGCGGGTTACTGAGCTGATGGGCCCAGCGCTCGAAGTCAGATTCCGTCAGTTCCACTCAATACTGGCAAGATTTGCAGTTTCAATTACTTCCGATACAGAAAGCTTCACGTCGGGGTGCACCTCCCATCCAATTTTGTACGTGTGTGTGCATGCGAACTGCTGCCGAGCAGCGCTATCAAGGGCTGGGTTACGTGATTGAAGTTGCTTTGGACGAGTCAAGTGACGCAGCTGATGAGTAGTGCTACTTCCCCTGGTATCTTTTCGGGGCCCGAGCGGGCATAACAGCACGCGCATACGGGCGTACTCGATCTGCTTCAGGTATTGAACTGGATCCACCAGCGAGGTTTCGCTTCCAGTGAACACACAGTCTCTGCCTGTCGCAACCCGAAGGCCTGGGCTGTTCGATGTTTGGAATTTTGCGATGCAGTTGTTGTGATATCTCCAATGCATCTTTTCAGTCCGCCTCTTGGTTCCTGTTCTTGCAATTGCCTTGGTGCACCTGCTGCGACGGTGGCGGTCACCTGACGCTGCAAACGCCTTCGCTCACTTCCACGGATTTGGCTGTACGCCGTTCCGCTCATCTCCCGCCGAGTTTGCCAGTGCCAGAGATGCGTTCAGTGTGCTCAGAAACTCTCTGACACTGAATACCGCTGTCTCTCGGCTGCCTGATGGTCAAAGCTTTTTCAGTGATGCAGCACACACCAAAGTGACATCTGGTTCTCGAAGGGCGATCCGCCAGACATGGGCGAGACAGAACGCAAAATATGTGTTCATAAATGTGTCGCATTTGTGCATTCCCATGCAATGCTCACTCGCTTCAATGTTGTCCTCTAAAAGTCGCCCCATCAATTGACAAAGGCCTGGGCACGGGCGAAACACCTGAAACGCACACGCTCTGCAAAAAGGGCCGCACAGAGTGCTAGTGTCAGAACCTGCAAACTACGGCGGCACGTACTCAAAAGGCTCCGGTGGCAGTGGCTCCTCCTCTTCTTTGTCTTGACTCTCCACCAGGGCGCTGCCCTGTGCGCCACCCTTTCCATCCGATACTCCTTCCGAGCCGCCGCCATGCAGTTCAACAGGCTCACCCGGCCTGAGGTCCCTGAGCACAACGATCCCTGCAAGGGCGCCCGGCTTGAGCGACTGCCAGCGGCAGTCGTCAGGAAAGCGCACGAGCTTCTCCTGGGATGGCACCACTCGTGCTGGGTTGTCCAACATGTGGAACTCGGCCTCCTCAGGGCCCTTGCTTGTGGACTCCTGGCCCTGTCCCTCGGGAGCCTCATCCGTCTCCATCGCCAAGGATTCCGCTGGCTCGTCCCCCTTCGACGTGCCAGGTTCTAACTTCTTGCCTTCCTTCAACAGCTTCTCCTGCTCCTTCTTCCGTTGCCTCTCTCTCACCTTCACAGTTGTGGACAGGACTGCAGTTGGCAACTTGGCGGCCTGTGTGCTCGCCTCTTGCGTAATGGGCTCAGGGTAAGCATACAGCGACTTTGGGCAGTCACAGGCGACCTGGAGCTTGGGCAGCAGCATGTCTGCATTGAGGGCGATTAGTGCCGTTGGCTGGAAGGCAAGGCTCAGGAAATACGACAATGGGTACCAGTACCAATACTGGGTGAACACCGCCAGGCCGATCACTGACGTCCTTCTGAAGTGGCCAGAATGGGACCTCAACCCAACAGTGACGTTCCTGCCCCCAGCATCGATGATGCCCGCTGCCATTATTGCTCCCATACGGCACATTATCTCTTCAGTCTTGTCGTTGATGAATTTATCCAGCTGCTTTCTAAACCCGCCGACCTGGCTTTCTGGCTGCTGAATCAAGACAAGTGCCATTGCGATCAATGCCCCCTGGCGCACAAAATCCACGGCATCTGACAATAGGGGTGTGATGATATCGATTGCATCCCTATTTCCTGTCCCAGCGCATGCAATGCCCACTGCCATAGCAGCTCCATATCTCACATGCGGGTTGTAAGATTCTGACAAGAGCGAAACAATCCTTGGGCACTGCTCAGGGACCCCCATCAACACAAATCCCAGACAGATAACTGCTGCCCTCCTCACATCGTCGCTCACATCGCTCACAGCAAAATGCAGCAGTTTCTGGATCGCAGCATTGTTGTCCGTTCCCCGGTACGCAAGCCCGATAACGTACATTCCACCGTAACGCAGAATGGGGTCCTGATCCCTGGTCATTTGTTCGATCAGCGTCTCCGCCCCCTCCTCACGACCATACATGATGAGTGCCAGCCCCAGGGCGATGCCGCGAATGATCTTCTCATGCTGAGTATCATGAGCGTAGGCCAGCATCTCAGTTGTTTTCTCTGTGGCGCTCCCCACCTGCAGCAGCCCCAGTGCAATCCCAGCTGCTTCGCCAGCAACGGCACTGTCCGTGTACAGCACGTTCTTCACGTCCTCAAAAATCTCAGCATTCTCGCTACCGAGCGCGGCGATGCCCAGCCCCAGCGATGCGCCTTGCTGGATGACCTCGTTGTTGGTGTTTCGAAGAGAAGTGCACAGGAATTCTTGGATGTCATGGCCATGATTGGCATGAATCAGGCCCAGGGCGTACAGTGCTCCGCCCTCTGAATAGGGGCTTCCTGATGCTCCATTCTGAGGAAGGTAGGGCGCCATCAGGGCACGGCCATTGGCCAGGTGACCCTTGTGGATGACTCCCAGGCCCGCAGTGGCGCTGAACTTCGCCCAATTTGTTGCGCGAGACAGCCAGTCCAGGTTGTCTCTCAAAAAGGTGTCGACAGTCGTGCCACAGTGCATCAGCGCGTTGGCCAGCACCGTGGCAGAATGGCACACCGACTGCCTGGAGTCCACAACGGACTTGATGTTCTTCAGGATCTGCAGGTCGGCATGGTTGTGGTTGTACAGAAACTCCAGGTACAGCATGATCGAGGTCTTGCCGGAAATCACGTCCTTCAGCTTCTGGTACTTGGCCTGCAGTGCCTGCACCTCAGGATCGGCTGTCTCCTTGGCCTCCGCCTGGGCGCCCGACCCCTCCCCCCTCTCCGCCGCCTCCCCCACCGCCTCCCCCTCGCCCCCGCCGCTGGGCTTCTCCACCGCCATCAAGGGCGCAAGCTCGTCCTGCACCTTGAGCAGGAACGACTGCATCTCATTCTCCACCTGATCGAACCCCACCTGGTAGGCCAGCAGCACCTCGTCCTGCGATCCCCGCAGCAGCCTGTTGAGCACGCCGGCCACCTCCGCCGCGTCGTCCAGGAACGCCAAGCACTGGCAGATATTCACCCAGTCCGGCCGCTCCATGTCCTTGTACAGCTTCACCAGCAGCCTCAGCACCTTGTGCCGGAAGTCCCTGCTGAGGATGAGCTTCTGGCACACGCCCAGCGCGTACCTCAGCGTGGCCGGCCGGTCGCCGCTCCGCCGCACCACCATCTCGAAATTGTCCAATCTGCGCGCCTCCAGCGCGATCCCGACCGCCTGCTCGAACTGCCCATCCGCGCAGCACCGCTCAAGCATCCGATCCACGATCGCCTCCAGCCGGGGATCGATCGCCGAATCGTCGCCGCCGTCCAGAACGGCGGCCCGCGCCTCAAAATACTGGTCCAGCGCCCGGGCCACAAGCGTGCGCACGTACTCCGATTCCTCGTTGATGTCGAACAGCCTGCCGGCGCCCAGGGCGTAGTCCAGGGCGTCGCCCAGCGCGCCCAGGTGGTAGTACACCTTGGACGCCAGCAGGGCGGCCAGCTCCCTGTGCGTGAAGCCCTGGTCCTCGTAGAGCTGCTCCACGGCGGCGATGGAGCCAGAGATCTGGAACCAGAACTGGTGCACCACGCGGTCCAGGTGCTGCAGCGCGTGCAGCTTCAGCGCCTCGCTGTCCTCCGTCAGGAGGGCCAGCAGGCCCGCGGAGCTCGACAGCGCCGCCATCCCAGGGACGGCAAAAATTCAAGGGTCCCCGCGGGCGGCGCGGCTCGGCCTCCGGGACGTCGTCGGCGTCTCGCGCGCGGCCAGGTCCGAGCCCGGCCTCGCGGCGATGGCAAATCGGGCTCGGTGAAGGTTGGAGTCAGGACACAGGCAGATAGACGTCGATTTTGAGGAGGGGGCAGGAAAGTCCTGGAAGGAAGGAAGGGTGCGTGTGTGCTGAATGGGTGGAAAATGTCGTTTGTGCGTTTCCAATGTCACGGGCGGATGGGCGGCAGCGGCCTGGGTGCCAGTGCCTGCCTTCCACAGCGCAAGGGTTGCCGCAGAATGGGGTGCTGTCTGTCCGGCTTCGATGGACGCAGACTGCATACCCGTGCGTGCGCGCTGCTGTTGGTTCCCACGCACCCAATTCTGGGTTTTACAATCCAGCTTGCTGGACTCGTGTGTTCACGACCTGCCACAACAATCGCACGGTGTTTCCACCATTGTGAACGCCCGTGCCAATGTGCAAAGACGCGCTGGCGACTGTGCAGCATCTGAAAACCCACAGAGCTCCATGGTGGAGGCCGCATGTACATTTTACGTTTTCATGTGCGACAGTCGCCACCCCAGCAGTGGAAGAGCGCATGCAGCACAGGCAGCACAGAACGCCTCAACCGTGGACCTGACGGGGCGCGGCCGTATCCAACAAATGTTCGCGTTCGCTTTCTTTCCGCTGTCGTCGCGTCCACGCGGCACACACGCCACCCAACCGCTCGAGCCCCGCCACGAAAGCGCAGCCCCGCACACTTTCCTTGGCCCTTCGCGCGTCGTGCCGTTGGCCGGCACTGCTCGCACACAGCTGTGTAGTTTGCCATCGAGCCCCGGCCGGCGGCGCCGGCCACGTGACCGGCGCGGTGGCCCGCGTCCTACCAGCCCCTCCCACCTGACCTTACCCCGACTGTGTGCCCCCCCGCCCTGCATGCTGCGTGTTGGCCGTCTCGCCCCCGCGCGAATTCCCGCAGCAATCAACTCCGCGCCGGCACCATCATCCCCCCCAATTTCAAATCGGCCACCGGCGCCCGCAGGCGCGGCGCTGGGGCCCCACGCCAGGCGCCCCGGGCGGCCTCCCGGCCTGCGGGGCGAGAATGGGCGACGTGGACAAGAAGGGCCTGGCCGCGGTGCGCCGCGTGGTGGCGGGCGCCATGCGCACCCGCGGCGCGCGCGTGCTGTTCAATGCGCCGGTGGACCCTGAGGCCCTGGGTCTGAGCGACTACTTCGACGTGGTGAAGCGCCCCATGGACCTGGGCACGGTGTTCAGGGCGCTGGAAGAGGGCCGGCGCAGTGACTGGGCGACCTGCCGTTACCGGCGCCCGGCCGACGTGCTGGCCGACGTCGCCCAGATTTGGGACAACTGCTACCTGTACAACAGCCGGGAGAGCGACGCGCCCACGCGGGCGATGTGCGATGAAGTGCGGCGGGCGTTCGAGAGGGCGTGGCGGGAGGCGGGGCTGGATGCCAGGGGAGCGGGCGGGAGCGGCCGGCAGGGAGGACGGGGGGCGGGGGACCAAGGGGGCGCGGACGCCGGCGGGGGGGGGCGGCAGCGCGTGGCGGAGGGCGCAATCCCTGAGCAGTATGCCGTCATGAGCGGTGAGGACGGGGGCGGGGCCGATTGGGGGAGTGGGGCGGGCGATGGGGGGCGGGGCCGGGCGGGGGACACCCTGTGAGGTAGGCGGTTTCGGAGGGGGGGGCGCCCGAGCCGAGGCTTGTTTGTTTGGAATTGAGGCCGCCGCCGCTGGCCTGCGCGTCTCGGTGCGCTGTGTGAGGCCTGGGAGGCGCACTCGTGGGGTTGGGGCTGCGCTGTCGCGGCTTGGGTTGCATTCCCTCTGCGCCTGCCCGCGTTGTGGCCAAGCGGCTTTGGACGGTCGCACCAGGGGCCGTCGGTCAAGGTCTTGGCGCGCCCAAGTGCTTGGACCGTGGGACGAGGCGGCTCAGAAACCACCATGGCGGGGGTAGCCCGTTAGAGCAGCTGCCCTGTTCTCCCCACACCCAGCAGCAGCAGCCTCTATTGTAGGGCCGGTGCTCAGGTTGTGGAGCCTGCTGGGCGCGTGTGGTGGTGGCTGAAGAGCGCACCAAGCCTGTTTTGGCCCCAGTGTTCCCTGGGTGACACACACCGCAGAAGCAACAAAAGCTCCCAAAGGCAGCGTGCTCACATTGCTGGCGCTGGGAGTGTTAAGTTTCCACGGCCAGGAGCTGTGTCTCACAACGCTCTTGTGCTGTCCTGTGGTCTCTTTGAGGTGTGCTCTGGCATGATTGGCTTGTATGCACTTTGCAGATGCTTTGGACTTGCCTCTCCACATTTTAGATGACTTCACTTTCAGCACGCAAGGGGACCCCTCAGTGGTTGTCCCGCTCGATCAGCTGTGCCACTACAGTGGCAAAGACACTGTGGTGGGCACTGGTTCGCTGCTCCCAAATACTGTGGGGCCAAAGGGCAAGAAGAATGGAGGTGTGTTGCTGATGATAGCTGCATTGTCTGTGGGTGCTATGCTGAGGTGTCCAAGGTGCCCCTGCATACCTTCTTTGTGGACGCAACTGTGGTGCTACGCATGCAATTGAGGCATCGTTTGGCACTTTGCTTGCACTTTTGAACTTCTGCTCATACTTGCGATGCTGACCATGTTGCAACATTGATCCGTGATTGAGTCTACCGAGTGCAATTCGTGAGCATGCAAGGGACAACTCCAGCAGAATGTGATGTAGCTGTCCTCACTGGTGCAGCAGTCCTCGAAGTGGCTGCAGTGGGAAGATCACGTGGTTGTGCTGTGGGATCAATTCAAGGGCTGTCAGCCAGGGCTCTCACATCGCTCAGGGCTTGCAATTGCTGTCCGACTGAGTTGGTTGTTGTGTGATTTCCAGTTTGTGGAGGGCGGCTTCCTGTGTACTTGGACAATGTCCTGGATTGGTGCATACAGTATGGCAGTTCACCTGCGATGTGGGTTGCAACAAAAAAGGCATGGTGGGTATCAGGTTTGCGGGATTATTGTTGATTACCGTGGCTGCTGCACGGACCAGAATAGCAGGCCAGACATTGGGGGGTTTCATGGCAGTTCGTACCTTTGGGATCTGAATTGTACTGGCGATGTGGAAGCAACTGGGCATTGTGAAAGGAGACCAATTGGCCTGTATTAGTCATGCTGTCAGCACCTTGGCCACTTGTCTTTGTTGCACCTGTACTGTTGAGAGAGTAGCTCTTGACAGAACAGAGAACTGCTGCTTTGGAGTGTTGTGCAAGGAGTGGAATTTACTTTCCTCCTTGCTACTTTGTTCCACTGCACTGAGTATATCTGCAGGCAATTAGGGTGGCTGGGAAGACAGATGCGAAAGGTACTATCTATAAAACAGGTTGTGAAATGTGCCACCTGCACTTGATATGCTGCCAAGGCTGTGTTGAGCATCAAGCCAGTGCTCCACCTGCATGGGCAGTGTCTCCTGCCACCACTTGTAAACCAGTTACAGTTGTTTTGGCAAGGCTTGGGTAGCCATGTCCCTTGATGGCTGGATTCCCTTGGCTTCCACGCTGGAGGCGGCACCACTGGTTGTCTGCAATATACACAGTTGCCACGTGCAAGACAACGTTTGTTTGCCTTGTGTATACAAGATTCAAGCGACACAAGTTTCTGTGCAGCTTGTGAGGGATGTGGTCGTATTTTATCATCTCCGATTGCATTGTGCTGGCACTGGTAGAAACTGAAAGTGATGGTGTCGATCCTCACTTGCGGCAGGTACAAACTTGTGTCGCCATCGGAGGACTACAAAGATGTGCTGGCATCCACGATGAGGAAGTATCTGCTGTGCATGAAGGCAGTGGATGCACACACCAGTGCCAAGCCAACCTCAAGACAGTCCTCATTGTCAGACGATCTTGAGTCCTTGGTGGCACAATTGATGGAAGACCCCAGTGAAGGGTCGCCAGTGGCTGATGCCAGTGGGGATGCCAGCTTTGTGACTGATCAGCTTAGAGCCTGGTTGCAGGTAGGGAAGGCACTGGCTTGCCTGGAGGACTTGAGACTTGCTAAGTTGCTTTTTTGACAGAAGACAGGCCATAATCCCTCCCTTTCCTCTGGCCACCCCTGTTC